TTTATATAATAATATATTATATATATTATTTATATAATAATATATTATATATATTTATGTCTAAATTTAAATCATAACACCTCATGTGACAATGTGGTTAGTGTGTTCTTTTGTATATATTTGATCTATGTTCGAATCCCACACTTTACATCTATTTTGCTCAATCTTAGTTTAACTAACCAATTTCGAGCCGAACACAAGCCGAACACGAGCCGAACACGAACACGAATATTTAAATCGAGCCGAACATGAACACACTGTTCACGAGCCGATTTCAAACACGAGCTATTTCGAACGAGCCGAACACGAGCTCGCTCAAGCTCGGCTCGTTTACAGCCCTCCTGATAATATGAATGAGGGAATAGACAAAAGTAAAAAGGATTTCATGCTGAAATAGTTGATCAGACTGACATTGAAACGAAAGTTACTTAAGTCTAGCCGGTGTTCTATAAAATGAATTTAGCTGAACTTTAAAAGACTTCAGGTTAGTTCGATAATAAAAGCAGAGTGTAAGAACAATTATAGCTTTATAATTAAAAAACTAAACTCTACTGATTTCATTGAAAGGAATATCGTTCGATGAGGACAAAAGGACATATTGAAAAGCCAGCTAGAGAATAAACGAAGAAAAATACTGAAACTCGATCTGAACAAGAAACTTAAGCTTGTGTTTAGTAACAACTGTTGAGAATTGGACCCTAATGAAAAAAAGGGAATAGTGAAGAAGTCTAGAGGTTTATTTATAAAACCTTGTAATACCCTATTTAAGCCCATGTTATGAATGCACAAATTAATTTTTTGGAGCAATTATTTCCCAGAGGTGGTGGAATTTAGGCTGAAGGTGAGCTAAGAGTGTATATAAGAAAGAAACAAAATGAGAGAACGATGCCTTCAGTACCACTTGTGCCAGCCAGTCTTTTGTCCCGGTCTTCCTCAACTCTTGAGACACTTACACCATCCACCTCCGATCTTTAACTCGTAGGTTAAATGATTCGTCCTCCTTCTCCTAACCCCCCAACTTTAAAAAGGACCTCTTGCAGCAATGCGGAACACCCTCCTAATTGTTTTGGGTGTGAACATGACAATGCTAACTTAGTTTTATATTCTAACATATCACCTTTACATGGAGCATTAATTGCATCTTTGGACGCTGTCTCTATACCTAAGTGTAGGCAAATTGCTAAGAAAGATCCCAAGTGAAAAGCGGCTATGAATGAAGAGCTTAGGGTTCTTGATAAAATTTGAACATGAGAGATAGAACTATGAACGGGGAAAAAAGGAAGTTCAGTGCAAGTTGATCTTCACAACCAAACTACAGAAGGGAAGTTGGAGCGATAAAAAGCACGGTTGGCGGCAAAATGGTATAATCAGACATGACATTGACTATGATGAAACCTTTGTACTAGTAACAAAGATAAGCACAGTGAGAACACTGGTTTCAGTGAATAGTTGGTGGAGGTTAGATTAACTTGATGTGAAGAATGTGGTGAGTTACTGGAGAAAGTATATATAGAGATACCACCGGAAGTCGGTATAGTCCAAACAATGCGCAAGGTGTGTAGGCTCATAAAGTTACTGTATGGCTTGAAGTAGTCTCTTCAAGCCTGGTTCGACAAGTTTAGAAAAGTCATGATGGACATGAGATATCAGCAGATCAATGAAGACCATATGATGTTCTTTCGACAAGATGAAGGTCACACCACTATACGTGCTGTGTATGTTGATGACATCATTGCCATCGATCATGATGAGGCAGAGATTGTCCAACTAAAAATAAGTTTGGAGAATAAATTTGAGATAAAGGATCTTTGACAGCTCAGATACTTTCTTGAGATTGAAGTGGCTCGTAGACGTGAGGGGATAGTCTTACCTCAGAGAAAATATGTACTAGATCTTACGGAACATGCATGCTAGAGTGCAAACCTGTAGTCTCTCCAATTGGCTAAAAGGCCAAGCTGAGTGCAGAGACAGGAGAACCGGTTGATCGTGAGAGGTACCAAAGATTAGTGGGTTGTTTGATATATCTATACCACAGTCGACCCGACATCTCTTTTGCAGTGAGCGTGGTGAGCCGCTGCATGCATGATCCAAGGAAGGGTCATATGGATACAATATATCAGATTCTTAGGTACTTGAAGAGTCCATCTCAGGACACTGCATGTTTGTAGGGGACAACTTGGCCACTTGGAAGAACAAGAAACATTCTATAGTAGAGAGGTCAACAACAGAGGCAGTGTACAGAGTCATGACCTTAGGAGTTGCCAAGATGACGTGGCTGAGAGCCTTGATGGTCAAGCTTAAGGTGGACCAAGGAATTCAAATGAAGTTGTAGTCCGACAACAAGTCAACAACCAATATTGCAAACAATCCAGTGCAACACGATATAACCAAACCTGTGGAGATTAATAGATTCTTCATCAAGGAAAAGCTGAATAACAGGCTACTAAAGTTAAGTCATGTAGCCACTGAAGAGCAAGTGGCTGATTGCCTCACTAAAGGAATTAGTTCATTAAATTTGTCTAGGTTATGTGAAAAGATGGGCTTAGTGGATATCTTTTGCCTATCTTGAGGGGAAGTGTTGAGGATTGAATCTCATTTAGGATCCTATTGGAAAAAAAAGGGAATATTGAAGAAGTCTAGGGGTTTATTTGGAAAACCTTATAATACCCTATTTAAGCCCATGTCATGATTGTAAAAATTAATTTTCTAGAGTAATTATTTCATTAACACATCAAACCTTTGACGTTCTATTGGCTAAATAAGCTTGGGTTATACATTGATCAAAGTTATAATGTGTGCTCCTATGAATATTCTCATAAATGATAGAATGCTGACCGTGGATTTATTCTTTCCTCTCCAAATAAAATATTATCACGAACTGAACCTGACTGTATCCACGGTACCTGCATTAGCACATTGCACCAAACATGAGGGCATCACAACAACTTGAGATAATTCAAAATAAAAGAGAAACAAAAGACCAAAATGATCAATGTACAAAAGGTAGTAAAAAAGTAACCTGTGGCACATATGCTATGGATCCATAGGTATGTATGCACCCATGGATAAGTCTCATTTCTCCCAGAATGGAACTTAACAAGGATGATTTACCTGAGCCAACCTAGAGAAAAAATAAAAATAAAAAAGTTTAATAAAAAATATACTACTACTACTACTAATAATAATAGATCTCCCAAGAAAAAGCTAACAAAAAAATGAAGACGAATCAAACATTGGAAAAGAAAAAATAAAAAATACAATAGTAGTAGTACTAGAATGGTGAAATCGAATTACATAAACCAAAGAAGTGTTTCAAGTGATTATCAGATTTGTAAAAGTCCTTGAGACACTAAAAGGAAATAAATAAATATTACTTTGAGAAATTACTAAATGATAGTTCAGGAAAAAAATAATTTTGAAAGAACAATAAGAATCAATATAGTGAAGTATATTATAGATTGTCTACAAGAACAAAATTGATTTATTTTTAACATAATGGTAAGACTTCAGGCCCAGGTGAGCTACTATTGAGATTTTGAGAGTTATGGAGGAATGGAAATGAAATATTTTGGTAGCAATTTTTAAAGATAAATCTTAAAATAAACACCTAACTATTAATGTATGACAATTAGTTCCAGAGTATTAAATTTCTCTCCAACATGTAGAAAATGTGATACAAAATTCTCAATTTACTCGATCGATTATACAAAATTGATCCTGATTTAGGTCCTAAGGAGTAATTTTTGGATCAATTTTGTATATTCACAGGACTAAATTGAAGAAATATGATAATCTGAGACTAAACTAGCCACATATAAATGGTATGGAGGATACTTTGTAGTTTAACCCTAATACTAAAAACGAAGAATATTTTCAAGATTGTTGAAACAATAAATGAATTAAACTTATTAGTCGTACAATAAAGTTGCAAAAGAGACTAATGGAACTGGCGCGGGGGCGCCATACACGGGGCAGGGGAGCAACAACCCCTGCACTAGGGTTTTCCCATGAATCCCGCACGAGGGCAACTCTCACACACAAGCTTTCCAGTGTCTAGAAGGTCTGACGCGGGTTACTCTCGCGACCGTGCGCTAGCTTGGACTGAAGTGGTCTAGGTTTTCTCTATTTTGGGAGTGTTGGCCAGTTCCTTGGCCCCCTCTTAATTATCCTGTTATTATAAATTCCCTTTTGTGAGAGTTTAGGGTTAGTTTTTTGGGGTTTTGTATCAGGACAATCATTGGTGTGTCTTCTTTCATTAGAAGGCTGTATCCCAGGGTTCCAGAGGGTGCTTCGGTTGTATCTTGATCTCCATGTGGTGTGTATCTTCTCTATCTCCTTTTGCATCCTCCCCACGTCACTCCCGACCGCACTTCATTACTGTAGCCCCACAGGACAAAACTTTGCTACCCCAACAGTTCCGGCCCACTAACATCATTGCTGCCACTGTCCACCCATTTAACAACGCCGTTGCCACAAACCTTGATGTTTTACTACAACCTCCAGCCTCCCAGTCACCTCCCCCTGCCTTCCAGCATCTCTGCCGCCCAAATCGCGCCTTGTTCTTGTTGTTCCAGCCCTCCCACAGTGCCGCTGCCGCCCAAGATAGTCGGGGAACACCTCCTTCCTACTATTCCGCCGCAACCCATCTCAACTCGTCGCTGCCACTATCCAGGATGACAACCATACTTGTGTCCTTGCATTTTCGCACCTACACCTCGCTGCCACCAGCCTTCCTTTGTTGTCGTCACACCTGCCAGCCATTTCAATCCACCTAGTCAACCTCTACCACACTTGGGATATACTTTAGTGGTGTTATTGTATTTTCCCTTTTAAGTGTGTTGGTTGTAATCGTTTATTTGTTTTTAGTAATATTATTTACTTTCCTGTTATATTTAATGAACATTAACCAACCCTTTTAATTTATTTTTTAACAAGATTCAACCACTCTTTCAACTCAAGCAACCATCCACTTTTCATTGCAAAACTATGCATTTTCACTGAAAATAAATTTTTTGAGCAAGCATACCCACCCGTTTCCTTTATTGTGAGAATAGTTTTATTTGGGTCATCCTAGTATGGAGATTATTTACAAAGTTATGCCAAACTTGCACTTGTGTAGTGAGTTCTCTATTTAGCTTATCAACCCTTATCATATTATTGTAAGATTATTTATAGAAGAAAATTTTATTAGACTATTTTACAATCATCCTACTATATAAGTGGTTATCTGACGTGTATGTTAAAACAATCTCCGCACTTAGACTCATCCAAAGAACTACCAATCATTCATATATGAGATCCTTTCTCTTAACTTTGTTTACTCTAACTTAACCAATCAACTTTAAACTCCTTGAAATCTATTTCTGGTAAAGCTTTGCAAATAATTGCTGCCACAACAGGTCTCCCTCAACCATTTGTGGCCAGAGTTCATCTAGAAATGAACATTACGATTCCTCTAGAAAATGAGTTATGGATTGGTTTCTCATCTTATGGCTATTAAAAAATGATAAAATTTAAAGGCTTATTTTCCCATTGTTCAAATAAAAAAAAATTTAGGTACAATGAGTTTGAATATTTCAAGGTTCCTTCACAAAAAAGGAATCAAATATCCAATATACAAGGGGAGCATATATATGATTGGGTTCTACCTTCAAATAAGATGATTACAACTCCGACTTCATATTAGGTAGGCACACCAAATTTGGAACCAACTACATATCGAACCATTGAAAGTAGAGCATTCGAGCTTGCCCCAATTATAGTTTCAGCCTCTTGAAGATATGGCCAGCTGCTCATCTGCATGCACGGTCATTAATCATAATCCTCCTAATATATTAGCTCTACTATTTATTATTGAAGACACAAATTGTCAAGCTTTAGAGAAACCTTATAATTTAGATGGAAGTCCTCAAACTATCAACGTTTTGGTAGACAGGAAGGTTTAAAACTTGTTCGCGGGGCAGGATAAAAATAAGAAAAATAATTCTCCATAATCCCCCAAGATTCATCAAGCTTCAAGCAAGGCACTGATGTAGCTCTATTGTTCAACTAAGGGATAATTACTCCTATGTCATGTTATGGTTATAATTAGTTTGGGATTTTTACTTTTCAACTGACAATTCTTTGTAATTGTCCTATATTGTACTCATTTCTTAAACAAGTTGTAAGGTTCTAAATAAATAAAAATAGCTGCAAAATCTGAGAAATGATAATATGAAGAACGTCAGAATTGTATTGTTCTAACATTTGAATATCAGCAATAGCTATAATAATAAGCGTAACCGCAGGTTAAAATTGCAATATTACCTCTCCAATTACTGCAATAAGAAGACCCTTCGGAAGGTTTAATGTAATACTCCGTATTACAGGGCTCGGTTCCTCTTTTTCATCAGAACATGACCAGACAAAGCTTGAATCTTGAAATAGGACGACATTGGTATTACAATCAAGAGAATGCTGGGCGTCACAAAATTGTCCAAAATCAGCAGAATGCTCAGGACAAGACAAGAATTTACTCAATCGCCTGGAAGAAATTACAGCCTGTGATAATCACATACAAAATTAAACATAATTGAGTAATAGAAAAAAATGAAGATTAACATCCATACCACACAATTCCTAATTATTTACATACCTAACACCTAAATTTTATTTTTTACATATATGGCACCTTGCCTATGCATAAAAATGTGTATTTCACATTTTAAAAGTCACAAAAGTGGTATTTTTGATATGATATGACAAGATTTCGGTGGTATGAATGTAAAAAGTTCAGGTATTAGATATGTAAATACATAAGAATTAGGTGGCATGTACGTAAATGCCCCTAGAAAAAATTGTTAAAAATGGTGAACTTACATCAATCAGCCCGTTAATCACCCATGGAAAAGAATTCAATGGAGAGATTAAGGTGTTAAAAAGTGCAACACATGTAAACACCTACATAGCAATACAACAAATCAATGTTGAAATTCTTATAAAGCATAATAGATTATACTAAGATTCAAATTATAAAATCAATAACATAAAGCATGGCCATAAAACTCACCATAGCAGCATCCAGAGATTGGCCCATCAATGTGAAGACACCAAATGTAGAAAGTGAGAAAAGCGTTGGAGTCGTTGCCCAGAAGAATACACACCATGCGTCCAAATATTTCCGAGTCTAAGATGAAAATTTTCTATGTCAAGATATAGTACAATTAAAAAAACGATTTCATTATGATTAAAGGGCATTTACATACATACCACCAAATTCTTATGTATTTCCACATCTAAACTTCACCTGCATTTATACCATTTAAATCTTTCATATTACATAAAAACTCACTTTTTTAACTTTATGACATGCGACGGGCTGCCTACAACCCGTTGTACCGGAGAACAGGGAGCCGGTCCAACCTTTCCTTGAACCGGTCGGTCCATTGTATGTATTTTGCTCCCGTCTCCTCCCATGCCCAAGTAGTTCACTCCTACTTCCCCGCCCATTGTGCCATAATCTCCCACAACCGCTCCTAGTCTTTTCAACCATTTCTTTTCTTTTTCCCCTTCCATTCCTAAGATCTTACTTTTGTTGTCTCCCTCTCCTCCCCTATTTATACATGTTATCTTTTTAGGTTTAACCAGTTTTTTTGCTGTGATTTTCTGTTCCAGGTGATCCTCCCAATGTCTTCCCTCACTTGATGTTGCATCCTTCGGTGGAGTGATGCTACGGCTGTACCCCGCCAATGTGGTGTGAATTTCCACTCCGTTCACTCCTTCCGGCGCACCCTACACCGCTACCATCTTCTCAGCTCCACCCAACAAGTCGTCCGCACTCTTAGATCCCTCCGGCGGCACAGGCGAGTCACTCCCTACCTCCAGGTTACCGCACCGGCCTCCTCCTTCCTCTGTCGTGCCTCCTAGCTACGCCACAGTGGGTTGCCACCCCTCCAGGTCTTCTCTAAAGCTCCTTCAACTGGTTGACCTATTCCATCGCCCTCCTCTGTTAGCCCCCTCATTTGCTACCTTACAAGGCTTTAACTAGCAGTAGCTTGTTCCACTTAGCCGCACCTTTGACGGATTTCCAACAACTTTTCAGGACTCTCGCACTAGCTTCGTCGCTCTCAAGGACTGTGTTTTTACTTCACACTGATTTTAAGTCTGCATTCCCTATCTCTTTACTATTTATGTGTCTGTTTACTGTTTATGTATTGTTGTTTTGTTGTTTATGTGTCATTCTTGAAGAGGAGTCGCCATTGTACTCGTTTTAAAATTCAACAATAAAATTTGTCACAACTGAGTTTTGATTTGGGTTAACTCCGGTATCATTTGGTATTAGAGCTAGCCCAACCATAGTCTTATCGTAGGGTTGCCTAGTATCTGCCCCCACCTAAGCCACCCAAATTTTTTGTCTTTCTCTTCTTTTCCTCTACCTTGTTTTCCCTTCTTTTTCTCATCTTCTCCTACTACCATCCCTTGCTTATTTTCCAAAACATTTATGATCATGCTGCCACATTAATATACACCGGACCCAACCCAAGAAGAAATACAACGAGAGATTCGTTCTTGCAAGAATGATTGGCCGAGAAGGACGAGGAAACTCAAGGCGACCGTGACATCGAGAGTCAAAGAAGAGAAAGCGACAACGACCTAAATATGTTCCACCGCGATGCTGAATATAGCTCACCCCGCTTTGACATTCATTATGAAAGGAAACCACAAAAGGAGCCCGCGTTCGACACTCCTAGAGATTACGACATCAAAACCGACCTAACAAAATTTGACGGAAGCATGGACCCCGACGACTTCATCGACTGATTGCAAGCTATCAAACACATCTTTGATTACAAGGAGGTAATCTAGGATAAAAGGGTTAAGCTTGCCGCTATAAAACTAAAGAAAAACACTTTGTTATGGTGGGATAACTTGCAACTGACAACGACAATGCAACCGGGATGACATGATCACTAAGCGGGTAAAAATTAAGAAGGCTATACAAAAAAAAAAAAAACATACTCACCCCACTATCTCCAGGATATATTCCTCCCACTCCACAATCAGTAGCAGCGTGATCTATTGATCGAGGAATTCATGACACAATTCGATCATCTACAGGTGAAGTGCGACCTGGTCGAGCAAGAGAAGCACACAATCACCAGTTATCTCGGAAGTCTAAAACCTGCCATTAGCAACATTGTACAACTCCAACCATACTGCATGCTAAACAATGTCCAAACTCTCACATTAAAAGTAGAACGACAACAGAAGCAAACAAAGTCTCAAAAATCCTTCCGACAGCAGTCTCCTTCAAGCCATCATCTCAAATCACATCTACCAACAAGACCACATCGGAAGCTGGCAAGTCACTACTAGGAAGCATGAAAATCCCGAGCGACACGAAACCAGAAAGGGGAAATTCTTCAGAAACAGTTCCTGCATGAAAGTGTTTTAGGTGCCACAGATATGACCACATCACTGCCAATTGTCACATCATCTGCACTGTCTCATTTACCAAAGAAGGGTTGTCGAGGAAGTCGAGAAAGTTGAGGAAGCCCAATCTGAGGATGGTTCGGAAAAGCACTTTCCGCCCCCAGAGACAAGGTGAAAAATTGATCATACGGAGGGTCCTCTAGTCAAAATCTGAAAGAGACCCTTCATGGCTATGACACAACATCTTTTGTACTACATGCCCAGTCAAAGAAAAAATTTGTACTTTAATCATCGATGACGGTAGTTGTGAAACGTTGTATCCACCTTAATGGTCAAACAGTCAGGTTTAGCCACACAAAAAGCATTCACGAACATACTCTTTCACCTGACTCAAAAAAAGGGAACGAAACTCGTGCCGATCAACAATGCTTAGTCGAATTCTCCATCAACAATCAACTACAAAAGCAAGTTTTGTGTGATTTAGTACCAATGGGCTCATGTCACATTCTTCTGGGGAGACCATGACAATTTGATCGAAAAATGCAGCGACATCTTCAAGAACACCTACACATTCAAGAAAGAAGGAAAACACATCATGTTATTGCCTGTAAAAGATGTAAGATGCATGATCGACACCGAAGACACATTAATCTCACAGGCTACCTTCCTGCAATCTGCTCGCGACGCGCCGATGGCACTAGCTCTAGTCCTCCTAGAAGGTACCAATAGGGATAATGAGATACCCACACAACTTAAACCGCTCCAACATGAATTCCAAAATGTCATGATCGATAATCTCCCAGATGGATTTCATCCACTACGAGACATCCAAAATGTCATTGATCTCATAATCAGGACAGTTCTACCAAAAAGACCTGCCTATCGATTGTGACCCGCAGAGTACGAGGAACTCCAATGTCAGGTGCAGGATCTTATTAAGAGAGGATTAGTACGCAAAAACACCAATCCATATGCTATCCCCACCTTTATAGTACCCAAAAAAAGATGGCTCCTGACGGATGTGCATTGACAGTTGTGTCATTAACAAAATTACAATCAAATATTGCTTTCACATACTACGATTTGACGATCTTTAGATCAATTGTACGACGCCACCGTCTTATCAAAAATTGACTTACGAAGTGAATATCAACAAATCAAAATGCGATCGGGCGAGTGAAAGACAGCTTTCAAGACACGGGATGGTCTTTATGATGGACAATCATACCCTTCGGTCTGTCCAATACGCCCAACACTTTCATGTGCCTAATGAATCAAGTCTTTCGAGCCCATATTGGGAGAGAGATTCGTGGTGGTCTAATTTGATGACATTTTGATTTATAGTAAATCCAAAAAATACCACCTACAGCACCTTCGAGCAGTATTCAAGGTCTTACGATCCGAACAACTGTACGACCCCCCAAAGAAGTGCCACTTCTTCACAAACCAAGTATGTTTTTTGGGCTACATTGTGTCTAGCACGGAGATACAAATGGATCCAACAAAGATCGAGGTAATAGTACCTTCACCGAGCTTGGGCTAGTTTCATTCTACCAAAGATTTGTTCGCAACTTCAGCACTATCACCATCCCCCTCACAGAGCTGTTGAAACGAAAAAAATTCACATGGACGGTCACAACCCAAATCAGCTTTGACATATTGAGGGAAAAAGTCTCTCAAGCTCCAATTCTTGTCTTGCCTGATTTCAAACAACCAATCAAGGTTGAGTGTGATGCTTCTGTGAAAATATGCATTTGCATTACTATATAAAAAAAGTATAAAAACTATGCACGTATGCGTCTATGATGTACAAAGAAGAAACCTATCATTAACAAGTATAGTAGACAATTCACTATCCTCATTTACATGCATCAAAACAAAAGAACTACTAAGAGCATGCCTAGCGCAAAAATGACCGGCCCACTTACATTCTCTAGGGATATGAACAAAAAGAACTTGCTTACAAGCTAAAAGGAAATTTAGGTCATACATTCAAGTTGTGGTTGTTGCTGCCAAACATCCTCTTCATGGAGGGGCTAAGAAATTGCATGATGTTGGCATTGTCCCCTTCAACAATAATGCTTTTGAGTTCATAAATCCAATGTTGGCAAATTTGTTGGAGAGATTGGATAGCCATGAGTTCCACTTGTGTGCTGTCCCAATGAGTAAAATGTTGGCCCATAGCAATACTACCTATGCCACGTTCATTACGAATAATTGAAAACCAATTCAGAAGGTCGGCTAGCCTCCCATTGCCCCAAAATCGATAAATGTGGGTCTTCGTGACGACTTCAATAATAGTTGCAGCGATAATAGTTGGTGTACCATAAGTTCGATTGTGAATCATAGCATTGCGTGCCTTCCAGCAGTGTTGAATGGCATAGCAAAAGCATCGAATATGTGCATTTTTATAGTTTCAAACATATTTGAAATTTTCGATTGCATCCTCCAAGTTGCTGTACTTGGGTAGTCATACTCCCCATGCCTCCAAAATGTTCTTAATCCTACAAAAAAGCAAACAATAAGAAACAAGATGATCTCAATCTTCTTCATTGGGACAACCCCAAGGACAATGAATCGAGTCCGAGAGGCCTCTTTTGGCAAGTCAGACTTTCGTAGGGATTGCATCATGTGTAAGGCGCTATCAAAACATTCGTTCTCGACAAAAATATGCCATCCACGACAAAGAAGTTTATGCCATTATTAGGGCTAAAAAACATTGGAGTCATTACCTACTTACAAACAAGTTCACCCTGTTCACGAATCATAACCTCTAAATTTTTTAAACAGTCAGGCTAAACTCAAAGGGCGCCACGCTAACTGGGTAGAATTCTTAGCTTCCTTCCAGTTCGTACTCAAACATAAAGCCAAAAATCAGAACCGCGTCGCGGACGTTTTGAGCTGTCGCCACCTCCTGATCACATCCTTGTAAACACACGTGGTAGACTTTGAAGTTATAAAAGGCATATACGAGACAGATGAAGACTTCCAAGAAATCTGGGAACAGTGTAGGGAGAAATGTCACAGACAGTTCTACAAAACAGATGGCTACTTGTTCCGCCACAACAAATTATGCTTCCTCGTTGCTCCCTACGGAAAGTTGAAATCTAGGAGAACCACAGTAGCGGATTGTCTGACCATTTTGGTAGAGATAAAACTCTTGCAGTAGTGAGAGAACATTTTTTTTCTGCCCCCAATTAACACGAGACGTGGAGCGACATGTTCGACAATGTAAGATTTGTCACCAAAACACGCGGCCAAAATAAATGATTGCACACACCTTTACCAGTCCAAGGTTGGAAAATTTGTTGGCATAGACTTCATCATAGGATTACCATGCACGCAAATAAATAAGGACTCTGTCATGGTTGTAGTTGACCGTTTCTCAAAGATGGCGCATTTCGTTGTCTGCCACCAGATGTTAGATGCATCTCATATTATCGATTTGTACTTCCACGAGATCGTTCGGCTTCACAGCATTCCCATAACCATTACTTTCAATTGGGATGTTAAATTCCTAAGCCACTTTTGACGGACCCTCTAGAGCAAATTAGACACTAAACTCCAGTTTAATTCTACATCACATTCTCAGACGGATGTGCAGACCGAAGTCGTTAATAGGAGCCTTGGGAATATTTTTCGATGCTTCATTGGGAAATATCATGGGACCTCATTCTCGCTCAATCCAAATTTGCCTACAATAGATCAACAAGCAAGACCACAGGACACACGTCATTTGAAATTGTGTAAGGTCGCAACCTGATCACACCCCCTGAGTTGGTTCCAATTTTACCCCCAACAGATATTAGCGAGGATGCTACAAAATGTGCTTATCAAGTTCAACAACTCCACAATGAAGTTGAAGCAATTTCTAAACAAAACCACAAATATCAAACACGGTCTAGAAATTCAGAAAAAAAAGTAACTTTTAAAGAAGGAAACCTTGTGTGGATCAGCCTTAAAAAGGAGTGATTTCCACTATAAGCACACAAAAAACTCAAACCCAAGCCGACAAATTTCCACATACTTAAGAAGCTCGATGACAATGCTTACAAAATTGACCTACCAAATGACACCAAAATTTCAACTATATTTAATTTTGCGGATCTCACCCCATACTATGAGGAACCTAAAGCTTCGAAATTAAGTACGGTCGCAACCTGATCACACCCCTTGAGTTGGTTCCAATTTTACCCCCAACAGATATTAGTGAGGATGCTACAAAATGTGCTTATCAAGTTCAACAACTCCACAATGAAGTTGAGGAAGCAATTTCTAAACAAAACCACAAATATCAAACACGGTCTAGCAAATCCAAAAAAAAAAAAAATAACTTTTAAAGAAGGAAACCTTGTGTGGATCCGCCTTAAAAAGGAGCGATTTCCACTACAAGCACACGAAAAACTCAAACCCGAGCCAACGAACCTTTTCACATACTTAAGAAGCCCGATGACAATGCTTACAAAATCGACCTACCAAATGACACCAAAATTTCAACTATATTCAATTTTGCGGATCTCGCCCCATACTATGAGGAACCTGAAGCTTCGACAACTGATGTCGAAGCTCCCCCAGGAGAATGACATGGGGCAGACTGCCTACAACCCGTTGGACTGTACAACAGGGAGCCATTCGAACCTTTCCCTAGACTGGCCGGTCCATTATATGTATTTACCCGCCCCACATGTTCTAATCTCCCGCAGCTCCTAGCCATTGCAAACCTTCCTTTTCTTTTCCACATTCCTTCCTAAGATCTTATCTTTGTTGTCTCCATATCCTCTCCTATCTATACAAGTTATCTTCTTAGGTCTAACCAATTTTTTTGATGTGATTTTTTATTCCAGGTGATCTTTCGTGTGTCTTCCCTCGCTCGAGGTTGTATCCTTCGGTGGAGTGGTGCTATGACTCTATCTCGTCAAGGTGGTGCGAATCTTCGCTCTGTTCCCTCCTCACGATGTCACCCTACACCACTGTCATCCTCTCAGATCCGTCCAGTAGGTCGTCCGTGCTCCCAGATCCCTCTAGCAGCACAGACAAGCCGCCACCTCCTTCCTTTGTCGTGCCTCTCAGCTACACCGCAGTAGGTTGTCGTCCCTCCAGAGCTCCCTCCCGCACCTACTCCAACGCCCTCCTCCGTCAGCCCCCTAGTCTCTCGTCTCCCTAGGCTTCGGCTAGCAGTCGCCTGTTCCCCTTAGCCCCACCTTCAACGGATTTCTAGCAGCCTTCCAAGTCCTATCGCACCGCCTTCACCGCGCTCCAGGATTGTATTTTTACTTCACGCTGATTTTAAGTCCGCATTCCCTATTTCTTTATTGTTTATGTGTTGTTTCGTTTTATTTTTGTGTTCGTTTACTGTTTATGTATTCTCGTTTTGCTATTTATGTGTCATTGTTGGAGAGGAGTCGTCATTGTACTCACTTTAAAATTCAGCAATAAAATGTCGTGTTTGAGTCTTGGTTTGGGTTAACTCCGGTATCACTCTAAAAAAAAGATGAAATGCATATTTTCATGCAGGGTAGAAGTGAAATATATATATATGTAAATATTGAAATTTAGGTGTTAGACATATAAATAAGTAGGAATTGACTGGTAAATCTTCCTACAGTTAAACAAGAATTGTGTTGAGCTAATATTTTCTCTTGCTTAAATTTCAAAAAGTAATTTCAGTTTGTATAGGAAAAATGCACAGGAAATACCCATTTTCCATGTGAAATTTCTCTCTGACTTCATAAGTATATACCTTATGAAAAAGTTTGTAATTTTATTCAGGTATGATGATATTCTCTTATACAGCACAACAAATTAGTACAACACAGAAAAATGCCTTAATTCTCTTACAGCGAGGTGTTGCACTTCCAGTAATCTCCTCTTCATCAGCCGCTCTGTGAATATGTATTCCCAGCAATACATCTTCAGAATCCGAATGGACATCAAAAGTTCACCAGCTCCTCTAATTCTGTAATTAGACAAGGTTGTAAGGCATAACATGAAGAGAGAATGCTATGGCTATCTAGCATAAAAATAATTCTAAGCTGAACCAACTCCACAACATAAATTTTAGAAATTTTCTAAAAATTTTTTCAAAAAAAAAAAAAAAAAAGAAAACAATAGAAAAGCACGAGAATAATTTTTCGTTAAAAACAAACTAGTAAAACAAATGAAGTAATCGATGCATCCAGAAATTATCTAGCAGATATATGATGTCATATATGTGACCACGCTGGCCATCAAGAAAATCAATGATTTACCAAGTCATATTAAAAAAACCATTTAAGCTTGATTATTGATCTAGTCCAACTATTTGAGCTTAGCAATGTTACAGAAAGTTTTAAATGCAACTGGGAGACCCATGTCTGCAAACTAAACTCAAAGCATTAACAAGTAATTATTGTTAATAGACAGATTGAGCAAATTAATCATGCTAAAATGACATTTACTTAAAACACTAATAAATCGTAAATTATTGAGGAAATTGTTAGATGGAATAGAAATGTATCCCGTTAATATATTTTTTTTAAAAGATAAATCCCAAAATAGTCTCCCCACGATTGTGTGCTGTTAATCTAATCCCAGAGTATCTTATGTTATCACATTTAGTCTCTCTACTATACAAATTTGATTCAAAATAGTCTCTTATTCAGAATTTTGTTACAAAATTGATCCCAATTTAACCCCTAAGGGATCATTTTGGATCTTTGTATAATTGAGTGATTAGATTGGAGAAATGTCATACTCTAGAACTTAATTGACCGCATACAAAAAGTTGGGAAATTATTTCAGTGTTGATGAGTTTTTATTTTTTCCTTGATATGAATACATGGATTATAATAAAATAAAAATAATTAAAATTTATACATAAGAATTAGTGAAAGAGAGAACCGGACAAATTGGAGCACGGTCCCCTAGAAAGGCACACAAAGGTGCTCAAGTTTGCAATCACTATGACGAGAGCAAGAGAGGGAGATGAAACTAATGGATTCTTAAACAAAACTAAATCCACCAATAAAATTTCATCTTCCTAATGGATTGGTGAGTGAATTGTATGCAGTTTCAAAACTAGTTCAGGATCCACAAAGTTTGACTGATTTAGGTTTTAATTTTGTTCTCTAAAATTTTCTAAAGGTGACTAGATAATCAATGGAATAGGTTAAAGACTCTCTCTAGTTAATATCTAGAGCTTTTTACGATCTTCTGCAGAGTTTATGATAATGAAAAGTGAGTTGAATCCAGCTACATATAGTCAAAATCTTAACATGGCCTACAACCCTAAGTAAATTATGTCTTAATGGATGGATCTAAGGCTTTAACCAAAGGCTGCAAACTCTAGGGAACCCTAAAGGAATGCGTCAAGAATATAGAAAGATTTTATGAGTATATTTGGAAAGGTTTAAGGTCTTCAAAAGTCCAAGAAAATAAGTCCAGGCCCAGCTTCCTTCTTCTTAAAACCAAACCCTATATGAAGTGGAATTGTCTTTTAAAATGGATGAAGAGAGAGAATTGATGCAGGATCAAAATATGGATATGAAAGAAAAATTCTACAACAATGAACCCCCCCTCCCCCCCCACCAAAAAAAAAAAGAAAAAAAAAACACACATATAACGATAACGTCTACTCAAAAAGATAATATATGATTGGATACTGGTCACCAAACAAGCTCCGATATAAAGTTTGGCCACCAACCCTCCTAAGTTTAATTGAAGACTCAAAATTTCACAAAGAACAGGAAATGTCACTAACTTCTTCATTTTTGCACACCCCGACTAACCTCCTTGGGTTAATGAGTGTAATAGTGGATGATAATTCAGTCAGATTCAATTTTCACGGACATTCATTCTCACTTACACAAGTCATGACCAAGTAAATGGAAGATTGTTCTCACTAAACTGCCACAACCAAATACTTATATTTCAATTCAACGAAAATTGATTGGTACTATACATGATACAATGAAGCGTGCATAAATAATTCCTCAAACAAAAAAACAGACCTTTTAAAACACTAAAATATAACATCATACAAACCCTAAAAGTATCAACCTAGTCTTAATCTTTAAAAAAAATAACAGTATAATATCGGATAAGTTACAAGCTCAATGAGATAATCAGTGTTAGAATAAGGCTCAATAGACAATTAAGAAATAAAGTGCATGCATAATGATAGGAATAACAATAAACATGCTTAAATATTTAAAGGTATAAGAAACATGAATAATCAAGCAGTTATTGGCAATGCTTTTATTCACTCTACTATGCAATATTGTGTATGTTTTTATTTTACATCTATTTTCATTCTTATTCTCAACTTTTTTTAACTTAAAAATGCCCATTAATATTTTCATAAATAATACCGAAGTTAACCCAAGCCATGACGCACGACACAATTTTTATTAATGACTTGAACAAGGTTACAATGAAGACTCAAAAGAATGAAAGACAACACACAAAACAAAAGTGTAAAACAAATGATTACAAAATAAATACTCGATAAAGGAAGGCACAACAAACTTGATGAAGAGGAAGTCAGGGCTTTGGTGCAAGGCAGACGGCTGCGGTGAAGGCCGGAGAGGTGCCGGTCTACCGTGGAAGAAGTGGGACAACAAATCAGCAAGGGGAGTGACGTCACACCACAGCGGCAAGGAGCATAAAATGTCGTCGAAGATCGAAAGACTGCTAGAGAGGGACGGTGGGTGCGGCAGCCTGCTGCAGAAGGCAACACTGCTGGAGAGGGGCGGCACATCAAGGAAGTGGAGCGGCCTGCTGCAAGAGGCGAGGCTCCTGACATGAAGACTGGCTGAGAGCTGTGGGAGGGCCGACAAACAACAGGAAAGGGAGATGCGGGGGCTGTCGAGAGAGCAAAAAGGAGGAGAGGGGTCTGCTCCCTGCAAGGGGGAAGGCTGGGCGGCCAGTAGGAGTGCAAGGAGTTCGGTGGAGCTGGCTATAATGCTGGAAGTGGCTGACAATAGCCGAGAGGATGGACGAAGAGATAAAAATCTCGGCGGGGTCAACCTATAGCCGGAGCATCACCCGGATCCATAGAGACAATCACCACCTTGAACAAGAGATGGCTAGAACACTATCTTGATGTCAGATACACCCCTCAAGAGGTAAAACACTCAGACAAAACTAAATTCAGATTTCATCAAAACAAGCTTCAATCTTAAGAAACACAACATCTTCTATTTATAAAGAGACATAACCTATCTTAAGAAACATTTAAAATAAGGAGAATAAAAACAAGATTTCAGACTTTGGGAAAGGCTTTTAAAATAGAAAAAGAAAATATAAATCAAATTTCATATTTTAGGAAAGGGTTTTTTTAAAATAAGAATGGAGAATAAAATCAGATCTCATATTTTAGAAAATGATTTAAATTTATAAAGTGCTTAGGAAGGAAAGTTGAGGGAGAGAGAAAGGAAATGTGAGAAAAGAAAAGGAAATGACAAAAATGAAAGAGGGAAGAGGTGGGAGGGGGCGGCAGCCCCCATCCCTTGAGAACTGGTCGGTCCTCTCCCGAGCCCCGCGTTAGTCTCCCGGGCTTGGGGGAGCTTCGAACTCATCTATCTAAGCTTCTAATCCCCAGTCTTTAATTATGATGGCACCTAGATCCCATTGTCAACTGTACTGCCTCCCCAAGTATTTGCAAGCGCACCTCCATCTCGGTCCAATCTCCTGGGGCTGAAATCTCTGTTTTGGTGGTGGCCATAGTGGTGAAGAACCGATTGTTACTAAGACTGGTCCTGCTACTCTGCAGGTGAGGGCTTTTGTCTCCTCGGGCCCTATTGAAGGTAGTAGAATGAGGTGTTTTCCGTCCTTAGTGAAGGAATACGTGTTTCGAAATCCACGAGCTGAGTCTTCCGCTCAAACTGTCACGGTCTCTCTAGCAGAAGGTGGCAAGCATCCATGGGGACCTCATTACACCATACCTTATGCTGCAGCTGACTCCTTATTGAAAACCCTACCAGGCATTGTCGGTCGATGTTGATCCTGTTTTTCTTCTTTAGCCACGTTAGGGAATATGACTGAGAATGTCTTTGAGTCGGGAGTCCCAGTTTTTCTATCATCTAGGTCGACGTCACGTTTTTGCTACTACCCTCGTCGATGATAAAACTACATAACTTTCCATTCACTGTGGAGCGGGTGTGGAAAATATTGTGGTGAAGCCACTGCGGATCCCTCATGTCCTCAACTTGCAAAATCCATTGAATCACAAGTGCTTCTCCCTCATTTGGTGGGAGTTGATGCTCCTCATCGATTCCTCAGCTTCCTGCTCCTCGCTAATCTCTTCCACGGCAACCAGCTCGGTGAAAGTTACATCTCTGCTTGTCGAACAGCTAGAGGCTACGTGCCAAAATCCGTGACATCTGAAGCATTTTCTGGCGAGCATTGTGGTCGACTTCTTCTTGTCGGGAGCTGTGTCCAAATCAAATTTATCAACTTTCTGTGGCGTGCTCCTACTAGTGTCTATAATTGTGGGTGGCTGTCTGGCTGGTGGTGGTTGTCTGCTTTGCTTCTGCAGCCTCACTACTTTCAATGTAAGTGCTTCGACATCCCCCAGCATCCAGTATGGCTGGAGTTGCACTACATTGTTAATACTAGGCTTCAAGCCTCCAAGATATCTCGCTACTATATTCTCCTCTGACTCTATGAGGTCGCACTTAAGTTGTAAGTGGTCGACTGAGCTGTAAACACCTCCACAGAATGGTCTCTCTGCTGCAAATTGTGAAGTTTCAAAACTTGTCCGGATGGTAATGAGAAGGAAGATATTTTTTTATGCATGATTTTCTTCATTTTTTTCTCACTTGGTGATCTTTTTGCTGCCTTCTAACCTTCTTTGTTGTTGTACGTTCTCCCACCATAGGAGGCCTTTTCTTCAATTTTATAGCAGCTAGTTTGACCCGCCTCACTTCGGGCACCTCTTTGTGTTCAAAGATCCGCTCAACTGTTTGTTGCCATTCG